TTTCTTGTTTTTTTCTTTCTTCTTGCTGGCAGCCGTTTTCTTTGACTTCCTTTCTTTTTTCTTTCTTTTCTTTTTCTCTCATTTTGTTTTCTCTTCCCAAACGCCTTTCTCCTTCTCTTTCTTTTTTTTTTTTTCTTCTTTGCTTTCCAGGGCTGCAATTTTCTTCTCTATTTTTCTTCTTTTTCTTGTGTGTCTCCCCTTCCTCCGTTTCTATGTGTAGGTATATATATAATTCAGCCCCATTGAAGTCCAATTAAAATTTCCAATACAAATTCATTGAGACCCATTTAACTCCAACTCATTTAATGTATTATATCTCTCTAAGGTTTCATATTTGGATATGTTATTTTTCACCACTTTTGCATTACTTTCTCCAATTTTTCATTAAATACAAATATTTACCTACAAAATAAAATATAACATAAATTAGATGATATCCAAAAGACAATAAAATATCATGATTTAGGATCTCGAATAAGTATAGAAACTACACTTATCAAATACCATCTTTCTTGGGTTCAAAGTTTGCAACACCCTTAGGCTGGTTGGTTGCGAGGACAAATGTGGTCTTGAAAGTACTAACAGTATTATGCTCAATCTGCTTATATCCCAAACCTCCCTTATTATCAAAATGCTTGTTCAATCTTAAAATATTGTCAAGTTTCTGAGATCCACTTAAGAAGGAATGAAGTTGAGCTTTGGATTTTTCAAGATCCATTGTTAAGGTTTTAACATTAGTCTCTAAATTCTCATTGACTAGTTTTAACTTACTAAGATTTTCAGTAGACTCCTGAAGGTCAAATATGACCATTTCTCTCTCTAGCTCCATCATATGCAACTTCTTAAAAGTAACACTATTGACTTTTTTTTAACTTAAGACAATTCTGAAACAACTCATCAAAGGCCTCATATATGTATGCTCATCTTCCGACCCATCCTATGAAGAATCAGATTTCTTTCTATCCTCAAGTGACTTATTCTTAACTACAGAAGTGAATGCCATATATTTCACAGTCTCATCATGAGATGACTTCTTACTTTGATTATCCAAGCCAGACTTGTCATCAGTGATAGTAGTATTCATAGCTTTGCCTAGGCCTCTCTTCAGGCTAGGACACTCAAATTTCACATGACCAAATCCCTGGCATTCATGACACCTTGCAGACCTCTTCCAATAATCTCTAATACTACTCTTCTCACGTTTATTTTTCCTAGGTATATTATATTCACCTTTATATCTCTCAGAATATAGGTTATTCTTAAGGAATTTCTTAAATTTCCTAAAAAGGTAGGCAAAGTTCTCATCCTTAAGTTTTTCATCATCAGAGGTATCATTCTCAACTTTTCTAACTATATTGAGGGCTATGGATTTGTCTTTCTTAGATTGAGGTAGGCTAAGTTCATATACTTGGAGAGATCCTACACGTTCTTCAATTTTATTTACATCTAGGTCTTTGTCTTCAATAGCAGTCACCTTAGATTTAAATTTCTCAGGTAGGGATCTCATCACTCTTCTCACAATCTTAGCCTATGGAATTTGCTCACTTAAATTGAAGCTAAAGTTAACTATATCATTCAGTTTAGCATAGAAATCATCAAAAAACTCATCATCTCTCATCTTAATTTCCTCAAATCTAGTAGTCAACACTTCTAATTTAGAGTTCTTAGCGGCCTTGGTTCTCTTATGTGTGGTCTCAAGAATGTCACAAACTTCTTTCGCAGTCTCACACATCGACACATGTCTAAACTCTTTAGGTGATACATACATAAATAGAGCATGAAGCCCTTTACTATTCCAATTACACTCATTTGAATCTTTCTTAGACCACGTGGAAATATTACTAGGGGTAACTACACCTGTAACTGCAGTAGATGGCAGTCCAACCTTTCTCAACACTCGTCCAAACCCGTTCATCCATAGACTTAAGGATATTTCTCATTCTAACCTTTCAAAAAGCATAGTTAATACCATCAAAATAAGCAGGAACATACGACGACCGACTCATCTATACAATTATGGTCAAGGATCATAAATAAGGTATGATATCACTTGAAAATTTCAAATTATTGAATATTTAGACCAAATGTGCTGAATTACACAATTATAAGCAACAACTCACTTTTTAATTGTTTATAGATGATTAGATCAAATAATTCAATTTATCCTAAATTTCACAATTGATAATTAAAGCAGTAAAGAACACTAAAGATGATAACGGAGAAACTCCAACTAGATAAACTTCAGGTACTTTGCCAGTCAATAATCTACTATGAATCGAAACAAACTTATAATACAGTCCAGACCTGTCTGCTTCGTAAAACTTCTGACCTCAATTCATGTAGTCACTTTTAATCCTACTAGAAGTGTGATCCTTCAAAATAAATCCGTCGCCGATCCCGACTCTTGGTACCTTACCTTAGTTCTCCTAAATTTGTACTTCTACAAAAGCTCCCAATCTTGGTATCGATTTATCTCTGGTGGATTAAATGAAGAACTCCTCGTTCTTCGGGTTGGTGTTTGATCAAACGATCTTTGTGTTTTTTGATCTTGTAGGCTGATGTAAGAGATATTGAAATATGTTTTTAGCTTTTAAAGAATAAACTCTTGACTTACATTAAGGCCCCACTAATTGGATCAATATATGGGTTGAATAATGAACAAATAATATTGTGATTAAATCAAGGAATTAATGAAATGATGTTTGGATATTCAAAGAAATTATCTCTATAATCAAAATATTGTTCAACCACACTTTGGACGTCCCATAAGATGTATATTTTTAATGAGTAGTGTTTGGGATCAAAAGGAATTGAAAAACTAAGTGTTTGAAGCAAAACGGATTTTTGAACATCGATATGTCTCTTGAGCACAAGCCAACAACAAGTGAGGGGTAACTAAGCAGTTGTCAGTATTTTTATCAAAACTTTCTCTCACGATATTCGATTTAGGTGATTTAGAATGTTGAAAATCTAACTCAATGGGCTACAATTCTTCTAGAAATAGCTTGTCCAGATTCCAATGTTTTCTTTGTGAAAAATGTGTTGTTGGTTGCGATTGAAAATTTGGAACATAACTCGTTCGGCTCTTTGACACTTTTTAGACTTCTAGTTACATTCCAGTGATCATATGCGATCTTCTTGGATATCTTGAACTCCTTCAAGAACTAACTATACTATCAACCCAACTATTTAACTTTAATTATAATTCAATAACTCCTATTTTGACTTAAATTACAACTCGATAACTAGAACTTAATTTTGACTAAGGAAATTATCAATTACAAATTTAAAGATTCCCAATTATAATTTGGACTTCACACATAATAATCAAATTTAGGAGCATATCCAAGATACCTCCACTAATGAAGAGTAACTTATGCAAAATAGAGGTTATTTTTAAAATTTAAAAAGTAAAACTCCGATAACGTTCTCTATTTTGACTATTTATTTTACATTTTCAAAAAATATTTATTGATTTATCCTCATATTTTATTTAACAATTTTTTATATGTTAATGACCAACCAATTCAAATGCGTTTTGAACAATGTAAGAAGTACAATAATGAAATATGTAGTTTATTAAATGCAATCATTATGAAGTAATAATAAAGAGTCTTTGAACTCTCCAAATTTGAAGAGCAAAACACAATTTCTATTTTAAAATGTAAAAACAAAGAATCTCCTGAAATTTATTTTTAAGCATTGACTCTTTGTAAGTGCAAATATTACACTTATTTTGGTCATCGAAAGTGATCTTAGTGACTGAATTTTCGACCTACTGAATAAGAACATACGAAAATGAACAATAATTGATAATTTTTTTTTATTAAAGTTGTATATATTCTTGAAGTTGGAGACCAAGAGTCACATTTGAAAGTAGAAGGACTTCAATTGCAATATCTAAAGACTTAATCTGAACACACACACACACTCAGAGACAGAGACCGAGAGAGTATGGGCCAATTAGCACAAGTGAAAGAACAATTTTTAGTAATTTGGGATATCTTAATTTGACTAGAATTATGATTTTCTATCTTCTAGTGACTCTATTTTAGTCTTAAATTGAGGTCTATAAAGAGAAATGCTTTCAACCCTTGTTTGATACACATTATTTCCAAAATGCATTTTTTTCTATCATATTTTTAACCACGCATTCTTCAATAAAATAATATTACACGCAAATTCAAATTTTTTTCTTATTTTCTAACCACGCACTATCTCTCAATCTATTATTCTAAAATACATTCTCCACAAATAATGATATATAAGGGCAGCTTGAAGGAACACAATCTCGAGATAAATTACATAGATAAAATTAAAAGTTTCTCAAGATTTGTGGCCCTAAATTGGAATTTGAAGGTTGATATTTATCAATTGGTCGGAAGATTTACAAATCCAAGAAGAGTTCAAAAATTCATTATTGAGAATTGGGTGCCAAAGTACAACAATAGCTTGGCTTCTTTTCTTTCTTCATTATTGTAATGAACTTGCCAATTTTTTAATCTTTTTATTGTTTTATTTCACAATGATGAATTGATAAATAATTAGTTGATAGCATGAATGATGTAATTTATGTGTTTAATATTTATTTATTCCCAAAGACTTCATGTAACTTGATCTTGTGTTGATTATTTATTGTATTGAAGGACATGATTATCAATTGATTTATTTAGGGATAATATTGACATCAAGAGGGGCTATATTAATCTAGCTCGTGCAATAGGTGACGTGTTATAAGAGATCAAGAAATAATCATAGGTTAAGCAATTTTGGTAGAATAGTTATTGGTTAATCTCGGTGGTAAATTCGGGTATATGAGTGGAGTTATTTTCCTTGAAAGAGATCACTAGCTATAATCAATTTATTCGATTGTTGACAAATATGAAAAGGGTTGACTGATTTTGAAACGAATGAATGTTAATTGACCTAGTTGAATTCGGGATTCCTAACCACTTAATCCCATAAGTTTTCGCAATTCTCCAAATTTAGATTAATTTAAATCAGTTTACTATAATAGTGATTTGGTTTGGTTTGAATCCTAATTGCTGCATTCTGCTTAATAACTCCAGTGCTTGTTGTGTTTGTCCATTATCCATAAATCCACATATAACAGCATTCCAGGAATCATAATTCAACTTTACCCCTCGACTTAGCATCTGATCAAAAATAATAAGTGCATCCTCACATTTTCCATTTGAGAAATATGCTGATATCATCACATTCCATGACACCATATCATGCTGGGGCATGTTATGAAACACCTGCTCAGCTTGCTTGATACTTGAACAACTAGCATACATATCCACCAGTGCACTATTCACAAACATGTTATCTTCCATACAATTCTTAATACCAAAACCATGAACCTCTCTACCCAATTTCAAACACTTCAAAACTGAACAAGC